AGGTTTTCCCTTTTCTTTGTTAATTCTTCCCTCATTACATTTGAAATTCCACAATCAGTGTGCACTGTAATTGTCGAATTTGATGCTAATGATTAATGAATTAAACATGGATCCATCAATTAGTCCTCGGAGAATAATTCTGCATAAAGCAGCGGATAATGTAATTACAGTAACAAAGATAATGAGATGTTAACATCGACGGAGCCCGACGTGACATGATCACAGCAGGCTCAGCAACCCCGGCCTGGGGGAGCCAATCCCTCACTCTGCAGAGGCAGAGCATCGGGGGGCACGGGCCTGGCAGAGGGGGGGTCTGCCACTGCAGTGCTCCCCCAGCACTGGCACCAGCACCGCGCTCTCCTCCTGCCTGCCCGGTGCAGATGCTCCTGGCCATCCGCTCCAGGAGCCACAGTGGAGCTGCCTGGCAAATGAACCCAGCAAAGATCCCGAGCTGCCTGGACAGCCAGCACCACCCCTGCCATCCCGATGTTTGGGAGCGGCTGAGACCAGTGCAGGCTCTCTCCCACCACCACACACGGCACACGGGGCCAGAGACAGGCACCGTGCCACACGCCAGGAACTCCCCTGCCCATGCTGTGCAGATGAGAGTCGGTGCCAGCACACCGAATTTGGCCCTGGGACAGACAGACCCTCGTCACCTCAGAGCAAACACAAGCATCAGCCAAGCCCTGCACCCCAAACAGTGGTTCCCACCACTACCTGCTCCAGAAAACGCTCTCCGTGGGCTGCAGGAGCGGTGCTGCAGGAGGAGAAGGAAGAGGAGGAGGGCTCACACCCCACCAGCCCCGACACACATCAGACCATCTGGACTGTTCCCTGGGGTGAAGGGAACCAAGCAGCATCAGCCCCTTGCAGCTCCTTCCCCACCTAAAACCTTCCAGAGCTTGAGCTCACACCCCTGCACTGAGTCCAACCAGCCCATCCTGCTTGGCCCCCCCAGCACCGGGGATGCTGCTGCCACCTCTGCTCTCCTGCACCACTCAGCAGCACATCCCATGGGAGGATCACAGTCCTCAGAGAGCTGGACAGTCCCTCAGGAGCCCCCAGAACTGGACAGAGCTTTTCCCTTTAGCCTGCTCCCCTCACACTGTGCTATCAGGAACTGCCTCCAGTCACTGCCTGCAAGCACAACCATCTCGGTCGGCACTGCTGCAGACTCTTCCTTTACTTCACTTCCCACTCCAAGGCAGGTTTCCCAGTGTTCACCTCCTTGGCATCCTCTGCCATCATTTAGCTGCGATACAGTGCCAGGGAGCGCCTCATGTGCTCCGTGCATGGCCATGTTAAGTGCCACGTATGTACCTGCACAGGTGTCGTGGACCACGGTCTCAGGACCTTCCTGCCCCTCTCCCCTTTGCTAACACTTTGGAGCAGGTCCCTACAAACCCCTGTGGAGCAGGACCGCAGGGCACAGCGGGGCTGAGGCCAGGCTCTCGTGCTGACTGACACTGTCCATAGTTTTCTTGTGCTGCCATCTGTTCTCCCCCACTAAAGTCGCTTTGCATCCTGTCTGCACTTGGATATGAGCTGCCCTCATTCCCCAAGCCAGAAACATGTGCTGAGCACAATGAAGAGTAGCACGAGGGTGGGTGAGCCTGCTGAACACGGCAAGGATGTACCTGCTGAGCCCTGAGGAAGAGGGCAAGAGAAGCAACATTCCATCGGGAAGAGGAGCACCAGGGATCTGAAGGAGACACCTGACCCAGCACTGGCACACCTGCAGTGAATACCTGTTACCAGGCCACAGCACCTGAGAGCTCAGGCAGGAGATCTGCTTGTCCCTTTCCCACCCTCTCTAGCCCAACACTCCAGTTCCTCCTGCCATGGGCAGGGACATCCCAGCCCTGAACACTTCTAGGGATGGGGCAGCCACAACTTCTCTGGGCAACCTGTGCCAGGGCCTCCCCATCCTCACAGCCAGGAATTCCTTCCCAATATCCCACCTAACCCTGCCCTCTGGCAGTGGGAAGCCATTCCCTGTGTCCTGTCCCTCCATGCCTTGTCCCCAGTCCCTCTCCAGCTCTCCTGGAGCCCCTTTAGGCCCTGCCAGGGGCTCTCAGCTCTCCCTGGAGCCTTCTCTTCTCCAGGGGAACCCCCCCAGCTCTCCCAGCCTGGCTCCAGAGCAGAGGGGCTCCAGTCCTCAGAGTATCTCCAGGGCCTCCTCTGGACAGTAGGAACTTATCCAATCTAAAATAAAGCTAAGCCTGACCACAGTAAAGTCGCCTTCTTTAATGGTTTAAATACCAGGGCACAATCATGACTGAGCTCAGAGTCCCTGCAGGTTTCACAAACACAAGCTCCTTCCTCATTCCTACTGTATTTAGCTCAGAGTTGGCTGTACCAGGCATTATTCTGAATCCTCACCAGAGTGCTGCATCTGTGTATTTCATCCACATATAGGGCAGGGTAAGACTTTAAATTTTTTCTCTGTCTCCCCTCTATGTCCCTGGTTTTTCCTTGCCCCAAGTAAGGACTGTGTGTGTGGTGGACATCAGCCAGCACACTCACTTACCTTGGCAGAGCTCAGGTCACAGAGGAACCACAAACACATGTTCTGCACTCTAACCACAGGCCACCTGGGATTGCCCAGTGGCTCCTGGGGCAAGACAGCAAATCCCTCAGGTCTCCAAAGCTCATGTCCTCAGAAGATTAACTTGTGACTGGCAGAGAACTGCAAACTTTCAGGTGCTTCCTCTCCAGTGCCCAAAGCATGTGTCAGATGAGAGATGTCCAGTGGACCCATCCCATCCCCAGCTTCAAAGTAACAGCCCCATCCTCAGCTCCAAAGGTGGCAAAACTGTAAGGTCACTGCTGATTTGAAGCTGGACAGATTCTCCACCAAATCCAGCCCTAGGCATTGCACAGGCATATGAGCATGTCACGTCTGAGGGTTTGTGTCACTTGGTGACTGCATCTGCTGCAGCTGGGCTTGGAGGCATTAGAGCAAGTTGAAAAAATTCCTCAGAAAGCCCTTTACTGATTGTGTACCAGGAGAAAAACCTTTGTGACATGGCAGACACACACTGGGCCAGGACAGGACACTCACATCTGGTCACAGCTGCTGTTCTAGTGCTGATCTCCATGTGGACACACCCGCTCTGGGCAGACCATGGCACTGCTCTGCTCAGGGCCCAAGGCAGGACAGTGAACAGGGGATCCCAAATCCACAGATCCTACCCTGAAAGGACGATTGTAGCAGCAGGTTCCATCCCTTGCACACACACACACACAGTGACACCCACAAGCTGGAGTAAAGTACATCTCATGAAAAGGGAACTGATCTCATTCCAGAGGCTTCAGGCACTGCTAAGTCCACTCACTCTCCAGATAAACTATCCCAAAATTAATTACTCTCCCTGCTAGGAAACTGCATCTCCTCTCGTGTAAACTGCTCTAGCTCCAGCCCCCATGCACTGTGCCTGCTCCAGCACTGTCCCCAGACCAAACAGCCTCATGCCATGCTTGCTCCTCCTGCAGCATCAGTAATCCAGGCACATCCCAACCTGCCCCTGCCAGCCCAACAGGACTGAGAGGGCTGCTGGGAGCAGGACATGGGGTTACATGAACAGTTGGTTTGACATCAGCATAAGCTCTTTTGTGGTTTGAATCCCCCCCAGCTCCGATATCTCCGCTAAGTGAGAACTCAGCCAAGGCGCCCCGGACACGCTGGTGAAGGAGTGTCCCTGTCCAGAGGCAGGAACTGTCCCCTCGCTGGGGCACGCTGAGGGTGTGGGGTGGTGAAGTGACAGTGTACAGTGGAGAGTTGTGGCAGGAAAGAGGCAGAGCTGCACACCCCCAGTCAGAACACACGGTTTATCTGGTCCACAGATGAGTTCTGACTCGACAGGAACAGCAGTTTGGGTTCAAAAAGGCTCGTTATTCCTCCCTTGGCACTGTGTGAGCACAGAGATGTTACCATGCCCCATCCCTTGTGTGTGTGCAATGCCAAGGATCCCACCAGCTCCCAGCACTCGGCCCAGCTGCACCCA